TTTCTACTGGTAGCGGGATTTAATTTACTTTTGGTTTAGTATTTTTCATTTTAAGTAATTTTTTCACCACTAAATAATAAAAAATATAAGCATCATATAAAATGCAACGTTTTAGTATTAATCTACTGGTTGCTCAAGTAAAAAGTAGTAGCTATCCTTTTTTTGTCGAATTTTACTACAAAATTCGCTACTACTCTATTAAAACTATTCCAAAAAGCGGTGCAGTTGGCATCCCTGTAAATGATATGATCAACCTGATTGATTATGACACATCGAAAAATAAGTGGTGAATTTTATAAGCCTACGAATTGTTTAAAAATACTGGTTGATAAAAATCTATTAAATTGAATTTATAAAATCAAGAATCATAATTAATAAACTACCACTTGAAAATATTTATTTGCTGTCCGGAACAAGTTGGCATCTATTTTTGTGTGTTCTACATTGCATTAATTTCTTCAAACCATTTTAGTAACGATAGTAATATAGAAAAAATAAATATTTATTCGAATTATGTGTTTCTAACAAACTCAGTGGCGGTCGCCCACATGGCATTCGACGTATTAAGAAATTGTTGACTCTTCTGGTAACTCCGCCTCTTTGACTAATTGCTCCCGTAAGAGCCCTTCGTATCGTAAGCCAACCTCTCTCTTTTAGTATTAATCCCACTATGTGGGATTCCAAAAATTAGCTTAAGCTCATTAGGATGCCCCTCTCCACGGTAATCTTTAGTAAAAGGCGAAAGATTAGCACGATTGATGAAGAGAAGCCAGAGCATACCCAAGGAATGGTGTTTTAATTATATATTAAATTTTTATTTTAGTTTAAACTGGTAGTTTCATGGTAAATAAAAATTTATTATTGTTAGGCATCTAGTGATAAGTACTTGGCCTTTGAATCCGTTCATGCGCATGATGGCCATTTTAATATACTTTTTCAAAACTCATTCCATTCTCCATGAATTAAAATAGAACAAATTTTCAGCATAAAATCCAATATTGGAGTTCCGGGAAGGAAAACCACTGCTCGTAAGGGAAAAACCTGGTTAAAGAAAATATTACAAAAAGATCTAATTTAAAACTTTTTTAATTCTTTCTCCTCCTATTATTTTTTTATCCATTTGATGTTTTTTTTATTTGACAAATGTTCATCCCTATAAATGCCATAAAATCAATTGAGAAAAAAAAAATTTGGAAAGTATTTCTTTCCAACTTATTTTCTAGGCGATTATTTAAGCCTGGAATTAAATCTCAAAAACGAAATAAAATGCCTAGGGTTGGAAAAAATGCGTGAAAAAAGATAGGAAAAAAAGAAATATATTCAACGCGCGATTGAGAATTTTGAGAGCTCCTCAGAAATACAATAAAAATAACGCCTACTTCCTTGTTTTAGCTTTGAGCGGAATTGGATCAAAGACTCTTTCTATTTATTCGGGCATTGCGGCCCATGGCCACACTGAACATAATGAAGAAGAAAAAAAAGATTATAATTTCTTCTTTTTTGGAAGAAAAAAAAAGGTCAGATATTTTAAACCGCGCATTCGAGTCTTCACTTTTAAATGCACTAAATGGCCGAGATGAGATTCCATCGTATATCTGTGTGGCTTTTTAATAGCGCTTTCGACGATTATTTCCACGGATCTCCTCATAGTTTTAAAAATCTTAATATTTTTAATGTATTATACTGAGACACAATTTTCGAAACCGAGTTATTTTTTGATGCGCTTTATTGGTCCATTTCATCGGTTTCAGCGATTTTTCGATTGTGTTTTTGACAGCTATTGTTTGATACCCACGTAATTTTTAAAATCTCGATGTTATTAAGACTCACGAGTTTCAAATTGCAGTTTTGAATCACTTACGACTTCCTCATTGTAGTTGCAATTTATTTATTGCATCACACTGGAGCTGCACAATGGGTTACTGGCATTGGTCTTGAAAGCCTCCATAAGGATGATCCAAAGACCTGTCATCACAATTTCGATCCTCTGCAGAGGATGGCATCGCCGCTTCCGACGACATGCTCGTGAAGCCGAGCACTTTACGGTAGAACAGTTTAACGTAGTCTAAAACCGCATACCCTCAGGTCCCAACGCAGGCTGATCAAAGTGGTCACCCACTGACCGCAGCCAGTGATGCTCGACTTCGATGTAGATTTCACCGTAAATCATGTTGTTTTTCTATCGTTTTTTCGGAAATTATTGTTACTCATTTCCACGTCGTTTTAAAATATATATTAAGACTGTTTTTCGAAGGTTGCGTCGTAATATGAAATGGTGCTTTTTTGCGAATATGCTATTTTTTTTAGCTTTATGTTAGCAACTGTTACTCATGATTGTTAGGTCAAGTTTAGCTTATCTAAAGCCAGCGTTGTCTACGCTTATTTTGTAAATGGAGCATAACAGGGAGAAAAGACACAGTTCTGTGAAAATGAAAAGCGTTTGTGGTCTAATTTTGCAAAAACTGAGAATAAGGCAGAGGTTTTGATAATTTTCATCTAGGTCAGTGGTTACCAAACGGCGGCCCCCGGGCAGCAAAGCCTTTTTTTGTGGCCCGCGAACTAAAGTATATTAGTTGTCATTTTTGGGGGGAAAATTTTCGTAAAAAATCTAAATGGGCTTAAAATACTTTTCTTTCGTTAAAAAAAAAAAAAAAAANAAAACTAATTTCTTTGCTTCTGTGAAATTTAACATACCAACGGTGCAAAAGAAATTTTTTGAAGTTATACTTCTTATGCGACTTCCAACAAGGGAGCATTAAACGTTTAACGCTACATTTTTATTGGCCGGGAAATCACGTGGTAAGATCCAGTTTTCCCTCATTGTTTTGGTTCTCACTAGCATAAAAATAATAGAAGTCATAAAAGTTTTGTTTTTCGATAAATATTTTTTTTAGTTTGTTTTGATGCACATATAATTTATTTGGGAGCAGGAAAAAGAGTCGTTGAATAGAACTAGTGATCCTTCTACGACAGCTGATTCTTCTACAATTAACGTCGCAGGTTACGAAGTTTAACTTCTTTCGCGCGGAGGAGCTCCACGCACTTTTTTTCGTTTTCAATCCAAGAAAATAGCCCATTGTGAAGCTCCAGTGCGACGTAAATTAACAATAACAATCCAAGAAAATATTTATTATTATTTGTAATTCAATACTTTTGTTTGTACAACTAGATAAAAATTTGACAGTGATATTTAATGTTCCTTCAAACATTAGTCCTTCCTATATAAAATTTTGATGAAGTTGCGGCCCGCCATTTGACTGGTGTTTTTAATTTCTCCCCCGGCCTCATGTAAGTTGGAAACCCCTGATCTAGGTGGTGGAATGTCGCCAATTGGCGGTTTTAAAAAAGATTTCATAACTTTTTAAGTGGTCTGTTCTAGACCCCAGATAATTCTTCACGGCAAGATATAGTTTTACAATTTCAATGTATGTTAAGGATTATTTTGCACATTTTAATTATAATTTTTGACATGGTTTATTTGTGCCGAATTTCAATCAATCCAAGTAATTTTTCGATCATTTTTTTTTTCGGCAGGTGTTACTTTTCCATGCGGTTTTCTAATTCCCGATCTTTTTAATAAAATATTAAGATTGAATTGCCCCTTTAAATAACGTTCGACATTTGCTTCATTTTGATGTCAATCCATTTATTTTTTCAGTTATATCTACGCTTTAAGTGGTAGTGAAAATTCCGGTAGACTTTCTCGCATTTTAATTATCACCCTTATTACTTGCTTTATTTGTGGGAATTTCATAGTCTATCTATTGAACGATGGCTTTTTTTTTTGTGTTATTGCTGCTCATTTCTACATGGGTGTTTTTTTTTTAATTCTCAATATTTTTATTTACTTTACAAGCAAAATTTGAAAGTGGATAAAAAGTTTGGAAAGTAGATAGTGATTTTGATATTAAGGTATGAATAAATTTTAATATTAAAAAGTTAATATTAATTTTTTTCCAGTAAAATTTTAGGCAGTCAACATGTTTAAATACTTGGGAATGAAGCCCTCCACTCAAAAAAAGTCACCTAATCCAACAATTCATTAATTTTATTAATATTTGGCACATATTTTCACTTTATGGGAGGGGAAAAAATAAGAAATATAAACTTTTCTTTAAAAAATGCCCATCTTGCACACCAGCATGGGTGCCACCCTAAAACAATTTCAAGACTGAACTTATTTTTTGACCAAATAATACTGTCTAGCGTTGTTTACCAAACTTTTAGAAATATATAGCTCACTGATATCAAAATTTACCTTTCCTTGGTAATAGCCTACATCAATCATTTGATTATTTTTTTCTAAAAATGTTTTTCTTTATTTTAAGGTTATATTAACAAACAAAATGAAACTAACAGCTAACCTTGTATAGTTTTTTTTACAACTATTACTGAACAACCTGAAACCATTTATATCTCTATTTTTCACTTCACTGTTACTTATCTTTTGTTCCAGCGCTATAATTTCCTTATTTTTTAAAAAAAAAAAAATCTCGATTTAACTTTGGCCAGCATGACAATATGTTAGGGTAGGGGATTTAGATTCAGTAATAGTACAAATTTAATTACACAAGTAGATGAAGTTCAATCAATCCCATTTGTCAAGGCTTTAAGAATTAGATTTAGTGAAGCTGACAAAAATAAGATAAATATAAGTCCTGACATCATTACCATATGTTCTCATTAGTGTTCATATCATATGTTCTCATTAAGATATATATATATATATATATTTTTTATAAAAAATTTTTGGTACATTGTTAGATTTTCTGNTTACACAAGTAGATGAAGTTCAATCAATCCCATTTGTCAAGGCTTTAAGAATTAGATTTAGTGAAGCTGACAAAAATAAGATAAATATAAGTCCTGACATCATTACCATATGTTCTCATTAATGTTCATATCATATGTTCTCATTAAGATATATATATATATTTTTTTTTATAAAAAATTTTTTTAAATTTCTAATGAAAACAAAAAGACTGATGAAAACAAAAGAAGCAAGACTGATTTCAGTCCCCAGGACTGAAGAGTGGCACCCATGACTCTAAGAAAGTAAACACAAAGAGAGGATTTGTTTAGACTCACAAGATGTGAATAAATCATTTCGTAAAAAAATAAATAAATTATTTTTCTATAGAGAAGGGTAATTATTTAATTTCTCACTTAGCAAATGCAATTTTTACTTTGCAAACATACATAGTAAATACAGTCAAACCTTGTTACATTGAACTGTTTGCAGAACCAGCAATGTGTTCTATAAACAGTAGTTCATTATTTCAATTTTTTTTAAATTTTATTTTAGCATAAGACAATAGTATTGTTGGCAATAGTGATTACAATAGTGCAAAATTTATTCTTAAATAATTGACTGCTTAAATACATTATTAATTAAATATTAAAGAGAAAAATTATTAAATTTTTATGCTTTATGGAAGAAAGTTGCACTTTTCGACTAACTACAATTCCATTTTAAGTAAAGTTTACTTAAATTTGTATCAACAATTAATAAGGTATCCAGTATTTTATAGTCTCCTTTTTTTCAAGGAAAAAAAATTCAGAAATTTTAGTGCTGATTTCACTTCTGGGATAAACGTTGCCAAAATTTCTTGTCCTTCTTCAACATAGAAGAAAAATATGATGCTAAACAACTTGTTCGCTGTGTTGAAAATATTTATAATTTTTAATAATCAGTCAGTTCTTCCTTCATATTATGCTTTTTCAAACCCATCACAGTGCAAAACATGCAAGCATGCCCTAATTTAAATGCCAAAAGCATACAAGAGAATGAATTAGCAAAATTTAAAGAAAGGCTATCATTTGTAATCAACTCCTGTGAATTTAAAACTAGAGAAATGAAGAAAAAAAACTTAGAAAATAAAATTTAAGTCCATTATAGACGAACTACCAATTTTTCAGCAGTCTACTATAAGCATAAAAAAAAAAAAAAACAAATAACTAAATAGAACTTCAGAAGGGATCACTACAACTAAGTATTCATTAAATACCATGTTCATTATAGCAGGGTTTGACAGTATTATATACAATTTATGTTGTACTGTCTATAAACATTTTAAATAAATTGCTATTGACAAGTTACGGAAGGGAACAACTGAATTATTAATTGATATTAATGGATTGTCCTTTGTGAAAGGTTGTGCAACCCTAGTATTAAAACCATTTAAAAGGAAAAAACTTACAATACTGTGAGAAGAGAAGACATGACAGTAATGGTTATGAGTTTGGTGTTCTTTGGTTATATATGCAAAATGACGTAAATCATCAGCATCTTGACAAGCACAATGGATATTACGAATTTCATGTTCACACACAAGTTGCTGTGAAAAGAAAAACAATTATTTTCATATATGACATTTTTTAAAATAGCCTTAGTCACTAATACTTTATGCAGTGTCCTAAAGAATGTTAAGGGTCAAATATCCTTATAACACATTGAATCAAAAATCTAACTGAACACGTAAAATAGTTTCAAAAGAAACAATAAGTTTAAAACAATACAACTTAAGTAAGATATTAAGTTCAATGATACTCATTTTGACCCTCATCCTTCAGAGATGGAGCAATTGCGAATCTTGAACAGAAATTCCTTGTTTTTTTCTGTCAAAAATTTAGCTTCTCCAGAAAAAGTATCCCAATTTAACTTATAGGTTTTTGCAGTTTGGTGTACAGATGGTGCGATAATCTCAAAATGAAAATGTGGAACAAATAGTTTCCAACTGATATCTCAAGAAACATATGTAAGAAAAAATTTAACAAAATAGTCTTATATTTATAATAATTTCATAAAACTCTTTCTCTACCTCAAAACCAAGTCACCCTACCTGGAAGTATGGGCTGATTTTGGTGAAATTAGATAGGTTTTTCAAAATTAAGGCATTTTATTTATATCGAACAGCAAGAACGAGTATGATGAATATGCCCAACCTGAGCTTAGGATTAAAAAAAATATTTTAAAAATATGTCCCACTTGAAATTTTAGATATTTGATCTAATGCTTTTTTCAATGACAATATTGGTAAAAAACTAAAAAGCTGATAACTAAAAATTTTATGCATAGAACATATTTTAAATAATACAGGGGTGAATTATGGTTTCATGATGTTGGTGTTGTTGTAGTTCATTTACGTCGCACAATGGGCTATTGGCGACGGTCTGGGAAACATCCCTGAGGATGATCCGAAGACATGCCATCACAATTTTGATCCTCTGCAGTGGCACCCCCGCTTCGGTAGTCCAACGACCTGCACGTGAAGTTGAGCACTTTAAGGTAGCACAGTTTAACGAGGACCAATACCGCACACCCTCGGTCCCTACACAGACTGATCGAAGTGGTCACCCACCCACACACTGACCGCAGCCAGTGGTGCTTGAATTCGGTGTTCTACTGGGAACCGTACCGTGTCTTAACGATCAGTTCAGTGCGGGATATGGTTTCATGAAAAAAAAAACACCTTAAATTTTAACATAAAAAAAATTATGTTTATATATATTAATTGGATTATGATAAGCTTTCATTAAAGAAAATTATATATTCTACTAACTTTTATAAATGAGAATTTTTTCTTTTTAGTCCTACTTCAAGAATTTTAACTTACACTAAGTATGCATGAATAAAAATCTTTAAAATCACAAGCCATATTAATTTAAGAAATAAAAATACCCATACTTCATAACAGTATTGTAAATAGAAATCTTATTTTTGTAATATTCATTGGATCATCCATGAGTAATAAAAAGAATCATAAATAAAAATAAGAATAGCTTCAGGAAAATGGCATAAATTTTTTTTTAAACTATTTCTTTTTAATTAACTGTGAGAACATTTAATTTAAACATTTACAAATGTTTTTTGCATAATAAGTAGGTAAAAGATAAAATTCTATCTCTTTGCATTTTATCCATAGAATTAAAATTATCAATATTTAAATAAACTATGTTTGATTCTTTTAAATTGTATGAATTCTAATCTCGATGTATGATTTTTAAACATGGTTTCCACTAAATTTCAGACAAAAAAATTTCCCGATTTTTTCAGGTATATCAGATAAATTTGAATGAAAATCTATTCCATATTTCATTTATACCATGCAACAATTTTCCATCTGAAAACTTTCGTTTTATTTATTTGTATTGTCAAATACTAGATTTTGCGAGCAAAAACATACAGGAATACACTTCTCCCTGACCTGTGGGAGCCCTGCTTATATTGCTTTACTTAAAATCACTATCAGTAATTTTCAGGGTTCACACCCCTCCAGCAAAACAAAATTCAAGGACTTTTCCATGACTTTTTCAAAACCTTTTTAAGAAATTTCATGAACTCTCTAAATAGCATTAGACAAGTATAAATGGTATTTTTTAACAATGGCATTTCAATACAAATAAAGTCAAACCCCGCTATAGTGAACACAGTTTATAGTGAACAAAATGTTCGGTCCCGTGCCTTTGCTATGCACGGATAATGTTATTTTTTGTGGATATAGTGAACCAAAAAAGTGAGGAAGTTGGATATAATGAACTTTTTTCTGTCTTCGACTGATTTTTTAAGAAATTTTTTTGCAATAATTTGGAAATTTCTACTTCTAATTAAATGCATAGACCGATTTTCAGAACCATCTATAGAGGGGAATGCAGCGATAAGCATTTTTTCTTGTTTGCTTCTTTTATCTCACTTTCCCATCCCTAAGCAAACCAAACAGATGTTTCCAACCCAGGCAGACGATGCACCTGTAAAGTGTCAGTGGGATCAATATGCATTTTTTGTCAGAGGGAATGAGTAATTATTCATTATTGGTCAAAGGGTTGGACACTAATATTGTTAATAAGGCCCTCATTTCAACTTCTTTTTGCTCTCAGTTCATTTAAAAAAATCCTGCAAGCAAGTGTCTCAAATTTAACTATGGCGAGCAGTAAACGTAAAACGTTCCCATTGAGACTAAAATGGGCGCAATCAGAAAAATTGAAAATGGATGCAATCAAGCTGATATTTGCAGGGAATATAAATTATCCAAATCTGAAGTTCGTAACATATGGAAAAATAGGCAATTAATAATTTCTGTTCACGAAAAAAATTGAGAAAAGCAGATCAGAAGAATGTTGAGGAAGCATTACTGAAGTGGTTCACAAATCGAAGAAGCCGCAATCTTCCAGTATCTGGACAAATGTCGATGAATTTGCAAAGCGATTTTATGAGACTACTTTTATGTGCTTGAATGGCAGGTTAGACAGGTTTAAAAAGCGGAATAACAGAAATTCAGGAAAAATTATATGAGGGTCGGGTAGTGTTTCCATATCTGATGTTGAGGATTGCTCATCAGCTGAAGATTACAATTTTTTTTTGTACGCGAGACGAAGAGTAATGAAAAATAACACATTTTTTGAAACTATATAATATTTTTCAGTCATTTATTTGGATAATGTGTAATAAAAGAGAGGAGTTTGGGAACCATTAGTTAAATTGCCTGCGTAACGGATATAGTGAACTGAAATTTCGGTCCCTTGAAGGTTCACTATAGCGGGGTTTGACTGTATATACAAAATCCCAGTATCCAATATTCTTCATTATTAATATACATTCCTTGAAAAATACTTAGAAAAAATGAAAAAAAAACTGGAAAGGTTTGACAATTTAAGGATAGATTTCTACCCAATAGTGAATGATTCAGATTACAGAACACGACTAAAAGACTTCATTACGTACAAACCACAAAAAAAGAAAAATAATAGCAGCAATAATAATAAGTAATAATAACAAATTCTTTCCAAAACAACTTACATAAATAATAAAAAGAGAAAATATAATTCAGAGTGAAAGATTCAACATCACAGTCTGTAGAGTTTTTAAAAAAATTAAATGTTTTTCAGGTCGTTAAGTTTTGTATCTAGTTTAATTTCTATAGCTTTAATTGTTTCTTGTTTTTGTTAGCACTTTTTCTTAAGCTGTTTGATTTTGTAATCATTGAAAGATTTCTCGATTTCTCTGCAAAATTATCAGCACAATAATTCTTTTACATCTGTATCTAACATTTTTTTTTCTTTGCTTTTTTAAATGGTTAATTTCTTCATGAATAATTTCTTTTCTTTTTCTGATCATCTCAATTTCCCCTTTGTTTTTCTGTTCTGCTAAATAAAGACTATATTTTTGCTTAGTACTAGCTACTGATAAAAGCAAGCCCTTGGTTATATCAACTTTCAAAATACCCCCGACAGACCTTACATGATCAATTATAATTCTTTGAGAGATAATTCTTTCAATTTTCTACTTCAACCTGCCTATTAACTGAAAATCCCCGTTCAACACTGGCTTGGCCATGTGAAAGCAATAAAATTACCCGTAACACTTTCCACAAATCTTTGTAGCAATTTTTATCTTTACACACACTAAAAAGAACAGAATCAATTCGATTCGATTCATCAATCAATTCGATTTTCTTCATTGCTGAAATGCTTTAGCTCATTAGTACAAATGGCTTCATCAAGCAAACAGCGAAATTGGAAAATTACATTATCACAGATTTGTTCTGAAATTCTCTTATTTTGAACAATGATGCTGCTATTAATAACTGCTTTGCCTCCAATTTGAATTCCATATATTGCCGATCTGAAATTTATTGAGATTTTTTTAGTGTTTTTACCATTTTACCTGCTGAAAAACCAACATCAATTTTAGGATAGATCAAATGACTGCTAGTATCACTTAAATCCAGATCCAAATAACTTGTAACTGTGGAGCATTTTGACAATATATCAGGTTTTAAAAATCGAATTGAGAGTTTTTAACAATTGTAACAAATCATCCAATAAAAAAGGTAACATTGGTTTGTCTGTTTTATATTTTAATAAGAAAGTTTGAAATATACTTGCTATAGACTGGAAACAAGCTATCTTAGCAGGCATCAACAAATCCTTTACGCTGATTTTTAGCATTTCAAAAGACTTGTTTTTAGGATTTTTTAACTTCCCAGAAAGTACAGCTTCGAATTTGTACATTATTCCATATTTTTAAAGCTCTTTCAGCTACTATAACATCTTCAACCCATCTACTGGCAACTGGCCAACTGGCTAAAATCTTTACGTCTCGCTGGAGTATCATGGAAATGAAAGTATAAATTTGATAATAAAGTTTTAACTTTCCGCTCTGACGCTTCACAGTCTACCTTAAAGGCACCATTCACTATGTATAGTCCACAGCTACCAGTGTTCAACAAAGTACAATCATAATTAGATTTGAGTTGCTGTTGAAATAATTCAAAAAATTTCCAATTTACATTTGGTCCATCCATAGACAATTGTAAAACGTTTGCCATAGGAAGTCCAT